AACTGTCTCAATGCAGACTAAAGTGACTCTTGTCTATATATCAGGTTAAGTTTTTAGTGCAGTCAGAAACAGACCTGCACTTGCTGATAGGCGGCCGGGACTTTCAGCAGGTCACCTGCAGGTCTATTTTTGTGCTACTGCCCTATGGTTATGAAAGGGCATTAGTTAAATACATTTACAGGTTTAGGCAACCATAGCAATCTAGCTTGTTTGGTGTTCACTATTTAAACATAGCAACATTACAGCCACCAAGGAATCTATATCTTAATATAAATATAATATATCTTAAATTTTATATCTTAATATATATCAGTGAATTTAATCACTACTTTTTAGAGCAAAGTTATTGTTTTTAAACAAAACATAAATATTAATTAAACAGTTATTTTCATTAAAATAAGAGTGTGATCACATGACATCTTTTGGAATAAAAAAATACATTTAAATAAAAACAAATTATAAAATTTCAAGTAAATGTGATATTATGCTTCTCTTGATTTTTCTAGTTTATTAAAAATGTATTTTACATTTTCCTTCAACATATTTATTTTTAGACTGTGATCTGAAGTTTTTTTTTTTTTTTGCTAGATTAGCTCCAGTTGTGGCTTTGGTACTGACTGTCTAATCTATTGTATATATTATACAAATATATTACTGTAAAGCCTGCTATAGAAAATATACATTTTAAAGAGAGATCTGTGGGAGGTGAACTTATTTATACTGATCACTCTGTTTCAATTTTTAACAAAAGATTTTTTTTTGTTTGTTTAGATGGCTATTTTGCACAGGGTGTTGTTCAAGTGTTGAATAGCAACACTGGAATATTGAAGCGTTGCCATGTCCACTTTTTAAAAGTGATCTTTTAGCTTACAAAATCCAGTTTATAGAGTTATTAAAAGTGGGCCGATTGGAATATTTGAATATGTGGATTTGAATTCATAAATTAGGTTTATTTTTAAAATGTTCTTATTTCGGTTTTACTAGCAAGATGTGGCAACACGAATGAGTAAATGCATCACTTGTGCATCACACATACAGAGGAGATAAATAACGCTGAATTGTGTAAAATATGTCACTAGTTGTTGGTTCATTTATACACAGATTGGCTAAATGCAACAATTTTTAAGGATTCCATCAGAAATTTTTGAATATGATTTTTCACTCCATTACTAAAATGGCTGAATTTAATAGATGCAAAACAGGATTAAGCTCTATAATCCACAAAAGGTGTTATCTATCTATCTATCTATCTATCTATCCATCCATCCATCCATCCATCCATATATATATATATATATATATATATATATATATATATATATATATATATATATATATATATATATATATATAAAAGAGATTATTTACATTAATTTAAATAACACCTAGGGCTGGACGATATTGTAAAAATCTAGCATTGTGATATTTTTTATTTTGCAATATATGTTGCGATATAAATACATCACCAGATAATTTGAATATCTCCATTTCAAAAGAAGTTTGTCAATTAAGTATGTTTGATCAATTAAGATGTGTTTTTGCAGTGGAAGTGCATCTCCATAAAATCTAATAAACAATCTTAAAACTTTTTGATGTCCCCCGACACATTGGGGTCTCTGCTATTTGCAGTGCATTTCTGTTATTGCATGTGTTGCATCTATAAATACAGTCAAGAAAAAGATTGAATGTAAAAAGTGTTTTATCATTTTCTGAGTTTAACAGTATTCAAGTACAGTAACTGAATGAGAAAAAGTTATTGTTGTTAAAGTTACAAATGGTACTTATGCCTGAATTCTTTTAAGGTCATTTTACAATCACAGGCATCAAAAACACATGCAAATCATGAATTATAATTCAGACTCAACATTGCATATGCTCACACGATATGCTCATGCTAAAATGATTTTTTGTGCAGCCCTACTGACAACCAAATGTTGCTGCAATGTAAGGCACATAGGTGTTATTTTTTATATAAAGTATTTTATGTCAGATATACATACCAGTGCACAGGCAAAGGAAATTTTTACTTGTCTTGGGACAAATATCGGAGAACAGTTGAAAGACAATTCGTCCAACTAGGAGAAAGCAAAATGAATGATTATATTTGAGATGAAATATGATAAAACCTAATATTAGAATACTGTGACTAATTCATCTTAAAAGTGTGAGTTTAGTGTGACAAGCAGCAACACCTCCTTCATATTCAAATACCAGGTCAGTCAACTGGAAGTGTGTTTTTGCATAGGTTTTGGATAAAAACTAAAATTAGAAGGCTCTCTAATTCATTCACATGTGATAAAACATAAATGGTGTTAAAACATTTGCTTAGTAAAATTACAGGTGTAAAATTACTAAATAAGCACTCCTGGCTTTATGGCACAGACGTCTCTCTTAAAACACATCATTACTGGTAGACTGAGGTGAAATGCAGACATTATTTAGCACACACAATGTCTGGGGTTCATTAAAACAGAGCTGCAGGTTAGGGTGTGGAGTCTGTGGACTGCCACAACAGCCTTTCACATGTTACAAAACAAGCACATATAATGTTTCACTTTCGTATTAAATGCATTCATATTTAGCTGGTTAGAGTATTCATTTTACATCCAAATTCCTTGACTTCAAAGTTTCAGTTCACACAAAATGATAATTACAGATCATGCAACTCTGAACCTTTTTTATACACTTGCAACTTTGAAGCAAAATGCTTGCAAAAGTTAATTTCTATAGCTCACTTTAAAACAGTTCAGAGATCAGCTTACTATTAATGAATGTCAAATCTTACCTGGTTCTCTGTTGATTTCCACGTCAAAATAGCACTGAGGGCGATCTTTCACCCCCATTTTTTCCACAGAGTGGGCTTCCTGTAGTGTACAATCAAAGCAAAACACTGTTAAATCTTGTATTCTCCAATAACTCACAGCTGAAAGGAAAACATTCCACTTCAGTTCTCTTCCAAAATTCTCTTTCTCCTCAGATTTTAAGGTGACATGAAGAGTAAGTGAACAAAGTCAGACAGTGAGATTGGGGAAGCGTTTCAGTTAACCAATGAGACACACGCCCCTCCAAACTTCCTCCCCCTTTTTTGAGCAGTGCTCTGTCTGTCACTGGTGCCGGACACCACCCTTCTGTGATGAATGAAACATTACATTGTTGCGGTAATGTTTGCTCTCATCCTGGATAAACCAGATGTTTTCTATCTTTGGGCTTTGTTTGGATATTTGCATAAGGGGAGGAGCTACAAATATGAATAGGAAAGAGACTAAACAAATTAAAACAAGAACTTGGCACTTATGAAGTTAAAAAAAGAGAGAGATCAACATCCTGTTATGCAGTGCTGAGTAGCTTTGCCAAGAATCACAGATCTTGAAGTCTTTAAGACCGACGGAAGAATGTCTTATCATCAGATTAACACAACATCTCAAATTACAAGAGAGGAATGAAGTTATTGAACTACAGAAAATGCCATGCCAGTTGCTTTACCATATAAAAATAACTCTGTTTATCAGCCCTGCGATTGCAACTTGGAGAGATGGTAAATGTCAGTGTGAACATTACATCAGGACAAAGTGGAAAATATTATGAGGAAAACACTCAAAATATAAAAGATTTCACCTAAATCATGTTTGGAAAACCAAAATAATACTAACACTATTCTATATTTTCTTTCTAATGTCTATATACACGTGTTAAATACAAATAACTATGATATACAAGCACTACCTTTCCATTTTCTTTTTTTTTCACCAATTAAAAAACGCAATGTACATTTAATGAATGTGAAATGAAGATAAAGTACAGTAATGACAATGTTTTTTTTTCTCTATCATCAGGAAGCATTATACTCGAGCACCAAACCCAATGTCTACAGATATAATCCATTCTCAGACAGGTTACATAATGTAGATCAGCCATTTCTGATTGTACACACTAACACGTTTATTTACTCTAGTCTGATAATTGAAGCAGGGGTTTAAATACTGTGCTAAAATCAAAACCAAACCCATTCATAAATATATCATATTAATATATACACCAAATTAAGCATGACGATGACATTACCTATGAACTCAAACTAAACCACGCTGTTGTTAGAAGAACTAAAATCAGAATTTCGTTTAGACTATTAGCAAACTGCTAAATGGTAAACCCGAGTAACGTTAGCTAAAACAACGACTCAAGGTGACCAGAGTCAAAGAAAAACTACTTTATTTGAAATAACTTAACATGTAAGCTGTGAATGTTTTGGTTTGAGCCAAATGGCTATCATTGTTACGTTAAACGTTACCATTGAAAGCTAACTAGTAATGCTATGTAAGACCCTGGAAATACACCATTATGGACAATTTATTGAATAAAAACCGATGCTATTATAAAGCTATATTCATGGACTAAAACATATGTATCGTTTTTAGTTCTACATACCTTAACAGCTAGTTAAAAGTCAAAAAGCTCCAAAAAAGCTAAACCCGCTCTGTCGACTGATCAATTGAGGTTTTTTCATGTTGCCAGATCTTTCGTGAGAACCGAGCAACCTGTTTTGTTTGCTACATGTGTCGAAAGAGTGTGTATTTCAGTAGTTGTGTATAATTCAGAATCTTACTCATTTATGATAACATTGCCATTTATCCTCCTATGTATTGTGTAAATAGGCCTTAAAATAGGGTCAAACCTATTTTATACAGGCATTGGTTCAAACTCTAATTAAAAAGAAGATCTAGCTTAAAACACAAGATATGGCAACATCAGATTCCCACTTTCTTATGTGAGAAACTGATTTGCCGCCCACTATCGGAAATCAGCAGTATTTACAAGAAATCATTTTTCTTCTGCGCTCAGAATTAAAATATACTTGCACATTTATGTACGGTGTGAATCTTATATTATATTATAATCATTGCAGTAAAAAAAACAAACGAGAATAAACACACACTTAGGATTTTTAAGGCTGATTTTAGAGGACTTTTATTTTAAAACAAAGACATCCGTTGACGCTTTTATTTCCCACAATTCAAAGAGACAAACAAAAAGCTCGTAGTCGCGTTTTAAAATCATTAAGTCATAAATAACTATTTTTTGTTGTTATTGTTATTATATTTTTTATGTTGTAATACTCATGTCATTTTAAAAATTCATCATTTCACATAATCGATGTGAATGTACTGAACTATTGTAAGGTAAGGGATGAAGGTAACATTAGTGTTAAAGCGCATCTGCACCTGCTAGCAGTGTTAATGTATTTAAACTACTAAAACAACGGAAACAAAACATTCAATCCACATGTGTTGATATACTATAGACAGGTTTTGCAACTGTGATATATGTAATTGAACAAAGGTCACTTTCTCGTACAAGCTGGTGTAGGATTCATTCACTGTTAAAACTGTTTAAAATGAATGTTCGTAGATTTGATGAAAAATAGTTTGCATTTGTAGACATTTAATTTGGTGTTCGTATTTATTTAAAATAAAAGACATTGAACAGAACTGCAAAATGTTGTATATAGATGTAATAAGAGTTAATGATATGAACAGTAGTGTCCTTACTGAATTTATGTTTTCATGATTTAATAAATGTTTCTACCTGAAGGCTAATTATGCTTTTAAATGTTTAAAATTAGTTTCTTAGATGCATATAATGAGTATACATATTCCTACATATAAATTCTGCCGTTGTATGATTTAATTCTTTTGATTCAGATATAAAAAAAAACATTCATGACTTTTATATACAACAAAAGACTATTATTATTTACAGAAAAAAACATATAGTTTAAATAATTTATTTGTTTTAAAATCAATATCATTAGATCGATACACACTTCAGAAGTATTATTTATTGTTAGTCCTTGTTAACTCATGTACTTAACAGGGAATAATAAGGTGAAAAACACATTTAAAAATAACTATCTGTTTCTCTCCTGTGCTGTGTGTTCAGGATGTGTTCTCATAGAGCTTCACGAGGAGCATGTCACTGATCCTGTTTGCTTTTGTGGTCCGGGTCAGGGACGGACTCCCTCTCTCCGCCTCCACTGATTTCCTGCATAACAAGGAACTTCAGGAGAAAAAGCAACAGATTAAAATCATCTCGAAATCCTTGAATGTCTTACCAGAGAGAGGGACAGTCAAGGGCCATGAGCTCAACATTCAGTAAGTGCACTATAGTGTCTTGAGCTTAAGTCACCCCATATTATTACCCTAATGATACATGATAAATTGCTAAAAATGCAGAAGAATAAAGAGGATATGTGAATTATGTAAGGGTATAACTGTTCACCGTTTCTCAATATATTGCAACTGCAGTGACGCAATGTGCATTAGTGCTTCAGCAGTTTTTCTGTTACAGAATATTTTCCTATAGGCATTTAAAAAAAAGAGTCTTAGTTAAAGTGTTATACGCCATGAAGAGAAACAAAAAGCTACAAGGAGCTATAACATTACAATTTTTGATTTTTAAATCAGAGCAGTATATAAAAATCAGTCAGCAAAGGTACAAAACTTATAGCATACAAATGTTTAAACACAGTTACGTAAAAAGGAAATTGTTCAGAGTTAAACTATCCATTTAAAGTTGTTGGTTGCATCTGTAGAAACAATATACACCACCTGACAAAAGTCTTGTCACCTATACAAGTTATAGGAACAACAAATAATAACTTGACTAATACATATTTTAGTTGATTATTTGGTATCAGAAGTGGTTTATATGAAAGGCAAAGGCCTCTAGATTATGCTTATTTGATCAAAATAAAATATGATTATGTCTTGGTTTTTAATCATTTAATTTAGACAGCATGGTCTGACTTTGCTTAGACAAAAGTCTTGTAATATAACAAAAATAAAGTACAGTATAGAATATAAAGGCATGGTGCAGTGGAAAAAGAATTAATATTGTGTATGACTCCCATGAGCTTGGAGGACTGCATTCATACATCTCTTCAATGACTCAAATAACCCATTAATAAAGTCATCTGGAATGGCCAAGAAAGCGTTCTTGCAGGACTCTCAGAGTTCATCAAGATTCTTTCATCTTACCCCAGACATGCTCAATAATGTTTATGTCTGGTGACTGGCCTGGCCAATCCTGGAGCACCTTGACCTTATTTGCTTTCAGGAACTTTGAAATGGAGGCTGGAGTATGAGATGGAGCGCTATCCTGCTGAAGAATTTCTCTTTCCTGTTGTTTGTAATGTTGGGCAGCACAAATGTCTTGATATGTCAGGCTGAACTAAAAATCTTACTCTGATTGGTGATTTTTTCTTTTACATTATGGTAGTTTTCCTGCACAAGTTCTATTATTGAATATGGTTGGTTCAACAAAAAAAAATGAAATAATGCAAAGATATATGTCAATTAAAAGAAAAGTTCACCTAAATAATTAAAAAACTATTATGAATTTCTTATTCTGAACACACACACAAAAAAAGATATTTTGAAGAATGTTAGTAAAAAGCAGAAATTGATATCTATAGTAGAAAAAAATACTATGGAAGTCAATGGCTGTATTTTGTCTCCAACATTTTTCAGAATATCTTCCCATGTGTTTAGAAACTCGAACAAACAGGTTTGGAACACGTGAAGGTTGAGTACATTTTAATTTTTCTAAAAACTTCAAAGCAGTTTGTCAGTTAATGTAAAAAATGAGTTTTCTTATAGAAATAAAATAGTTTTTATTTTTTAAATCTAAATATGCACCATGTTTATGTGTCATAAGTTTTGGATGGAGAATAAACATATGCATTTAATGTAATTCTGTATATTTAAACAAATGTTTAGAAAATTCCTTAAACATAATAATAATAAAAATATATATATCATTAGTTCTATATCGTGTTATCCGGAGCTGCATTCAAGTGTTGCCGTATCAGATTCAGGAACTATAAGAAAGCGCCTGACATTGTTTGCCTCCATTCCAGAGTCCAAGATAAGCCAAGGAAACCGGTGGCCGCCCTGTGAAGTCATTTGTCAACTAATTGGTCTCTCTGTGTTGTAGCTTCCTCTCATGTGAGGGTGTGTCCTACATGAGCGTATGTGCCTGCACGCTCCCTGCTGCCACGGCCTTCTGCTTTTTGGAGGACCTGCGCTGGGAATTCACAGCATGCTTTGACAACTCTGCAGTGGCCATGGCAAACAGGCCGTACCCATTTCTGGAGTTTGGTAGGGTGATTAAAATGTTAATGGATGTATAGGCTTAAGATGATTTAGGAGTAATGGGTGTATTTTTTTATTTTTATTTTTAAATATTTCCCAAATTATGTTTAACAAAAAGGAGAAACTTTTACTTGTTTTATTTTGGCTAGACTAAAAGCAGTTATTATTTTTTTAAAACCTTTTTAAGGTCAAAATTATTAGCCCCTTCAGAGCCGTTACTCGCTGCAGAAGTTGGGACTTTCTCAACTTTTCAGATCGCTGTATGCAAATACACCAGCTCAGACATTGGCCTATTGCTGACTAATTTCATTGGCTGACGCTGCTATGATGATTGCGTTAGCCCACACTTCAGACACGCCCTCTGGAAGCCCTGTGTGAATTGGGCGTTACACATCAAGTTATTTATGAAATCAAAATTTGCAATATTTATTTTGCTTGCACACATTGTTAGATTTAAGTTGAAGTTTTTCTGTGAAAGGTAATCCCCTGAGAGGTTTTTTTTGTTAATAAAACCTGAGCATTTGCTTTCACTCTGGATTGGCTGTCCTTCTGTGAATATGTCAGTTTGACGGCTTGGGTGAAATATGCTTAGCCACGCCCCTCCTACCATTAGTTTGCTGCAACTGAAAGATGAGAAGAAGAGTGCAAAAAGGAAACCCGACTACTAAATATTCAGTTTTACTGGAAAATATTTCATAATGGTACTGTAATGAAGTTTACGGCCCTTTGGCCGCCGGGAAGAAGGAGGCGGAGAACCGACGGAGTTTTAAAATGATTTATTAATAATAATGACGGCAGCTCCTCACGGAGACTGCCATTTAAATCAAAACAAACGGACGGCAGCTCCTCGCGGAGACTGCCGTCAAACTGAAAGCAAAAGTAAAATAACATGCCCGGGCCCGGTCCTCTCTCGGCTTCCTCTGCCATCGGTCCTCCTTTTATGGTCCAGAGCTCCTTCCGTGGGATCCGAGGCAGGTGCGCACCGCACGTGTATCCACTCACGCGGTGGCCTCACCCCGTTCCCACGGCTCTCGGCCACGCCCCCTCGCCACATACCCCCATCTCCCATCACAGGCCGGGGGCACCCCGCCACAGCACCCGCGAGACCTATATGACACGGGCCGAGAGAAAAGGAGATGGAAAAAAAAAAGGAGGAAAGACAGAGTCGACCGAGAAAGGGGAGAGAGGAAAAAAAAATAAAAAATTGGGGTTCGGTTCTCCAGACAAGCTGCCATTCGGTCCTCCACCAGCTGAGAGATGCGACGAAGTGCTGGGAGCCCTGTGGAGGAATCTATCCACCCGTCCGTCTTCTGGCGTCCGGCGGCGGTTCTCCTGGCTGGCTGGCGGCATTTCTGGTCTCCTGCTCCGCTCCCGCTTCGGTGGATGGATGCAGGCTTTGGCGTCATGGCGGATCGCGGCGACTCCCCCGGGTTCTGTGGGATGGCTCCCTTCAGCTCTTTCCCTTCCGGTGTTGAGCCCCGCGTCCCCTGCTCCTCCCCATGCTGGGAGACGGCAGCAGGCAGATCCTTTCCTCGCCAGCCTCAGGCCGCCCCGGCACTCTGGGCAGACGAACGGGTTTCTCCCCCACTCGGGTTAACTCCCGAACACTCGCCCCCTCTCTCAGCGGCGAGGGCATCTGGACAACGCGTCCCTCCTTCTCCCGGGTTTCGGCACCACTGTAATGAAGTTCACGGCCCTTTGGCCGCCGGGAAGAAGGAGGTGGAGAACCGACGGAGTTTTAAAATGATTTATTAATAATAATGACGGCAGCTCCTCACGGAGACTGCCATTTAAATCAAAACAAACGGACGGCAGCTCCTCGCGGAGACTGCCGTCAAACTGAAAGCAAAAGTAAAATAACATGCCCGGGCCCGGTCCTCTCTCGGCTTCCTCTGCCATCGGTCCTCCTTTTATGGTCCAGAGCTCCTTCCGTGGGATCCGAGGCAGGTGCGCACCGCACGTGTATCCACTCACGCGGTGGCCTCACCCCGTTCCCACGGCTCTCGGCCACGCCCCCTCGCCACAGGTACTAAAATAAATGTTCAGCAACTTTCAGTTCACTTGGCCTTTTAAATTTATTAAAGGTGTAATTAAATTAGTATTAGCATTAATGAGCTGGTGGTGAGGGGAGACTACCTTAATAATATTTTAAAGTGCTTTGGATTAATAGCAATACAAATTAAAAGTGCTATATGCTGTAAATGCATTCATTCATTAATCATGGTGAGTTTGTCTGATGGTTTTCTTTCAGATAGTGCCATTCAAAAACTTCAGCAGCATTATAACCAGAAAGGGGGTCCGTCTCTGGAGGTGACCCTGGCTGAAGTGCAGGAAGACCTCCGAAGCAGCCCCCCTCAGGTTCTCACCATGGAGGACGTGGTTCTCAGCAATGGAGCTGCTAATGGACATGTGGAGCAAACAACTGCATCAGGTTTGCTGTCATAATCAATAAAATTAATTCATAAGGAAGACATCTTAATTTGAACATTGACTAATAGTTGTGATATTGATATTGATCTCTGTTGATATTTAAAGGCCAGAGTCAGAGATTGGAGCCAGTCTCTGCACCCGGAATCCTCTCACTGGTTCTTAACATCATGTGTGCTGCGCTCAACCTTATTCGTGGTGTTCATCTTATCGAATACACCTTCCAGGTAATGCTTTAAACACAAGTTTAGTGGTGCGCAGGTTAGTTTGGGACAACTGATCTTTACAATCATTCCTATTTGATCTAAATACCTTTTTAAAAGAACTCAACAATATTATTTTATTTTTAAAGTGAATTTTGGTAGAATTAAAAAATACAATGCTGTAAATATAATGGTTAATTAATAGTACAATTTTATTTTTTTGCTAGCACCTAATCCTAATTTTCTGTCTGTTATACATAGTGTAGCTGTTTTATTTATTTATAAATATATATATATATATATATATATATATATATATATAACACATCCTTTTCTCACAATTAAGTAAATTATAAATTGGAAATAAACACTTTAATCTTATACAATTCAGAACACACCTAGACTTAAATAAAGTGATTTTTGAACATCCCAAATGCCTAACACACTCTTTCTCTCAGACGCACACATACACACACGTACACAGAGTTTGTAATGCTTGAAGTAAGCTTGAATGCAAATAGACTGTTCCCAAAGGTCCAGTTAATTTGCTTTATAAAAAGTTTTAAGGTCATCTTGTGGTAATGAAATGCCATATTATAATATATTTTAAACAAGCAGAGGAACACAAAACAACTCTTTGCCACTGTAGAGTATTTATATTTAAGGGCAAAATGCTTATTTAATTGAAGGATTAAGATGTGCTTATTTTGTTATTTTAAAAATCTAGGTCAAATAGTTATTCGTAACAAAATGTAAACAAAGATGCATAAAAATACTACTAGAATCAACCTGAATATGCTTTTTAGACAAACTAATGAACAAACGAACAAACAAACTACTAACGAACGAACTAACGAATAAACTAACTAATAAACGAACCAACTAACTAGCAAACCAACTAACTAACTAACTAACAAACTAACTAACTAATGAATTAACTAACGAATGAAAGAACTAACTAACTAACTAACTAACTAACGAATAATCTAACAAATGAACTAACTAAATAAATAAATAAATTAAAGGTGTAATTTTAATGCTTCAGTCATTTTGACCTTTCAGGGAAGTGATGAGTAAATCATCTTGGATGATAATTGACTTTTTATTTTTTCCAGGATGATTATGATGGTTTGTGGAATGTGGTGGCATTTCTTGTGGCATTTCTCTGCTGCGTTTGCCAGGTAATTTGTAATACTCTTCTGCGTGTGGCAAAATGCCGCATTCTAATTTCCCATCAATCTCAAATGCAAACTTTTTAACTCTGCTCTCTGTCTCCAACACAGTGTCATCTGTACTTGTTCCACACCTGCCAGAAGAGGCTGAAATCCTTCACTCTCCTGACTCTCATCGTCTTATGCAATGCTTTTCTCTTCGGCCCAAGGAACATCTGGCAGCTGGTCTTCCACCTGTCCGTGGCCTGTCTCTCCACACTGCTCACCCTACACCGCAAACTGCAGGACAGAAACACGGACTGTGGAGTATGAGGACTTCAGCCAGCTCTGGGTGAGGATCAAACACATCAGATGAGACTGGCGACCTCATGGCTCACATAAACTGACATCTGATTTTCCCCTGACTTTTGACTTTTGCTTTAATCTAATGGTAAGTTTATTATGTATCACATGAATGGTGAGTGCAATAGCTTTTTTTGGCAGGGGTCTTCAGTTACATTATTGCATATCAGAAAGTTTTACATAACTTATGTTGTGAATGTAATATGAGGAATTCAATGAAAAGATATGAATTTGGTTCTGTTAAGTTAATGTTATTTAATTTATTTGCTGCAAAATAAGAATACTTAAAGTTGCTTAAGCTAATTTATAGTGTTGGATAGTTCAAGCAAACTTTAAAGATGATTGATAGCTGAAATAGTGGTCTTTGGCACTTTGAGGGTCAAAAAATATATACAGGGAAATCAACATTTATACTTGTGGTTCCTGATGACATACTGGTCTGTTAAGTAGTGAAATTATGTGCACATTTTCACCTAAAAATATTCTTCAATGATGTACTGTAGAAAAAAGTGACCTACATTTTTGTGACCACACCTAATATAAAAAAAAACCGGGAGATTTAGATTTTAGGAAGAACTATCAATTTCAACTTTCATTAGTTTAATTGTTGCTATAAATGAACTGAATGTGTTCTGGTTTTGAGTCTGTCATTTTAATTTATGAAGGAAATTTAGTAATTAACAAACACTTTGTTTTCCTTTTGAACAGTGTTTGTTAGTAGGTTTGTAAGCATTTTTTTGTTGTCATTTTAGTTTTATAATTTGTAAAAAATACACATTCAGGTTGTTAAGCTAGTCTTCTTCTTTGTTTAAAGAAAGTTTTAGGAAGCCAACTCTTTATATTATACTCATTCCAAAGACTGAAGTAATTTCAACACATTTCAACATATTATCATAATACAACATTCATTTTATCAAATTAGCAAAAGAAAGAAGTGATACAAAAAATTGCATTTCTTAACAAAAAACATCTATTATAACCATTATTTTTGGTCAGCATACATTTATTTTACAGAGCTTAGTTTACATCTTAATATGTAATAATGATTTGCACTATTATTCTTTATAAAACAGACAAAAACCCATTTGTTTATTTTGCAGCATACAGTATTAGAATATAAAAAGTCTTAATGAACTTAAGATGAAGTTGAGTTTGTTTACATTAATCATTCATCAGTTTTATCTGCTTAAAATAATCAGTATGTGTCCTGTCAAATTAATCCGACTCAGAATATTTAGTTTGTGCACTTGCTATTATTCCTCAAGCAATCAGCATCTGTTTAAAGCAACACTCCACTATTTTGGAAATAGGCTTATTTTTGTTTAGCTTGGCATAAATCATTGAATCACATTAGATTAGGGGTGTCCAAACTCGGTCCTGGACGGCCGGTGTCCTGCATATTTTAGCTCCAACTTGCCTCATTACACCTGCATGGAAGTTTCTAGAAAGCCAAATGAGACCTTGATTAGCTAGCCCAAGTGTGTCTGATTGGGAATGGAACTAAACTTTGCAGAACACCGGCCCTCCAGGATTGAGTTTAGACACTCCTGCATTAGACCATTAATAACTTGTCATGGTACTGCAGCAAAGTTCTTTGATTATTACGTCAGAATGAGAGTATAGTTCCTAGTAATATAGACATAAAAACAGCAACTTTTAATTTTCCATTGGTCTTAATACACACCTTAACTACAGAAGAATTAAGTTTTAAATAGGAAAATTATTGAAAATCTTTTTTGAAGGGTGAGGCAGTGGCGCAGTAGGTAGTGCTGTCGCCTCACAGCAAGAAGGTCGCTGGTTCGAACCTCGGCTCAGTTGGCGTTTCTGTGTGGAGTTTGCATGTTCTCCTTGCCTTTGCGTGGGTTTCCTCCGGGTGCTCCGGTTTCCCCCACAGTCCAAAGGCATGTGGTACAGGTGAATTGGGTAGGCTAAATTGTCCATAGAGCATGAGTGTGTGTGTGAATGTGTGTGTGGATGTTTCCCAGAGATGGGTTGCGGCTGGAAGGGCATCCGCTGCGTAAAAACTTGCTGGATAAGTTGGCGGTTCACTCCGCTGTGGCGACCCCAGATTAATAAAGGGACTAAGCCGACAAGAAAATAAATGAATGAATGAATCTTTTTTTAAATCTTTGAAAAAGATGCTAACGGTCTAATCAAATTCTATGATTTATGCTAAACTAAGCTAAAATGTTCCCGCCAGACCTAGAAATCAGCTGAATGGATTCAAATATAATAGAAACTCATCCGTTTAACTTTAGGCGACTTGTACAAGGAGCTTATTTCGGAAAAAAATAATGAGTGTTCCTTTATTGGAAATGAGTTTTCAGGCAGAAAATAAGTTTAGACTTAATTATATGTGCTATAGTCAAATTCCTGACATTTTACAAGCAAGCTGTGCTTCTATATAACAAACGAGAGGTCATTATGCTGTGTTATAGCAGCAGCTTGCATGTAAAGTTTTAGTCTAGGATAATATTTAACGTTGTGTTTAATTACAGTAAGTTCATGTCAATGCCTTATTAACACAATAGAGTTACAGCGATCCAAACAGAGTGAGAGCGTTTATGTATGATCATTTTAAATGGCAGAAATCACAACCGTGTGCAGTAAATCAAATACTAATTGTAGTAAGGTAATATAAGGGCTCTATTTCTATCAGTGATTTCTTTCCTGGACTGCATGGTAAAGAAAGTGGCACATTTGTAATTATGGTATTTTAATAACTCATTTGTAAATTAGCATTTGATTGAGGTTACAGTGACTTTTTAAATGAATGCATATTTACTCTCTCCTCATATATATAATACATGGAGTAATGTGTTTGTTAAATCTATGAGATATTGTATTTTTATAATAATAGTTTTTCATGTCGTAGTTTGGATTAATTGTGTTTAGCACAAACGAGAGACCTGTATTTAGATGATCTTTTTCTCATGCATTTGTGACCCATATTTTTAAGGCCCATGTGTCGGTGAACTGTAATTGGTGCTGGAGGTTATTTCTTATCATCACGCTCATGAATAATAGTAGCTTGAGATGGATGTGGTCTTGTATAAATCTGCATTTGATGTTTTAGATCTCAATGACTGTGTCAGTTACTGTATATCTAAATACATGCTAGTGATCTTGCTTAAAGGGATAGTTCACCCAAAAATAAAAATTCTGTCATTTGGCTATTATCAAATAGTTCCAAACTTGTTAACTTTTTTTTTGTAAACTCAAAAGCAGCAGTTTTGGTCCCTATTGACTTTCTAAATGTTTCATTATATTATGGAAATCAATAGGAACAAATAATTTGGAACAACCTCAAAGTGAGTAAATGCCAGAATGTTTATTATTGAGTGATCTGTACATGTGATAGACACTGTTTTGAAACTGGATTGGTTTTGTTTCACTGGAGTTCTTATAACTTCTACCAACACAAACCTCCAGCAACCAAGTAAGAGTCTATTAAAACACGAGTAGTTTTGTGAGCACTGTTCCCATGTTGTTAAAATGGATTCAAACATTTAATATAAATCAGACATTAAAGATATCTGTGTGCTTGTGTTATTTTACTGTTTGGATAATTCATTCGTTCATTTTCTTTTCGGCTTAGTCCCTTTATTAATCAGGAGTTGCCACAGAGGAATGAACTACCAACTTATCCAGCATGTGTTTTACGCAGCGAATCCCCATTCAGCTGCAAATCATCACTTGGAAATGTTTAGATAATTCTAATAATATACCTTTATACCTTTTATGTTAAACCCAAAAGAAGATAATTCGAAGAATGGGTAAACATTAACATCCATAGTATTTATTTTCCTACTATGGATGTCAATACCAGACTCAAACATTCTTCAAAATATCTTCTTTCGCATTTTAACAGAAAAAAATGTCTTAATGGTTTGAAACAAGTCAATGGTGTGTAAATGATGACAATTTTCATTAATACCAATATAAGTTGATATACTGTACACCAATGTCTTAAAATATGGGTGAAATAATGTTCTATCATCATTCAAATCATCATACATCTTTAAATTGACCTGAAAAGTAAGTGATCAAGCTAAATATTTTATTTAAATTATTACATTTTATATTTTAATATTTATATTTTAAAGGGTAGTGGCAAGTTTAAGTTCAAAAACATTTAAATGAGATTTAATTAGTGTTTTAATCTTTAAATATAGCCTTTTAATATGTCATACATTGTTGTTTCAGGCGACATGGTGGCTCAGTGGTTAGCACTGTCACCTCACAGCAAGAAGGTAGCTGGTTCAAGTCCCAGCTGGGCCCGTTGACATATTTGTTTAGAGTTTGCATGTTCTCCCCATGGTAGTGTGGGTTTCCTGTGGATGCTCCTGTTTCCCCCACAGTCAGACATGCGGTACAGGTAAATTGAATAAACTAAAATGTCCGTTGTGTATGTGTGTGAATAAGTGTGTGTGGATGTTTCCCAGTACTGGGTTGCAACTGTAAGGGCATCCGCTGTGTAAAACATATGCTGAATAAGTTGGCAGTTCATTCCACTGTGGCGACCCCTCATTAAGAAAAGGACTAAGCTGAAGGTAAATGAATGATTGTTGTAAATTTGCTGACAGGATTTATGGTTTACAGTTTTTTTTAAATGTGTAATTATGTTTTATTATATTTTGCTCAGGGAAAAAGGTCCAATGATGATGTTATAGGAGAGATTGAGAACCATTTTTGTTTTGACCAATATACAGTAATTTTGTTGCATTAAAAGGTTTTATAATTATCCTAAATATATGTGTGAATTAATGTTCCAAAACCTAGTGACTCCCATTGTATAATCCTTTGTGAAATGAAGTTGTAATGTACAAAAGTAGTTTTTACAGTATTTCAATAATGTGCTTTAAAAGAATCTCTCTGTACAACTCATTGCAGAAATGATGAATGATTCAGCCGATGCTCTAAATGGCGCAAAGCTTTTAATTTGAAGCCTTTCAGAATTTCCTGTACTGTAGTTTTCTGGCAATTTCATCTACTTTCCAATTCAAATGTGAGTGGCGTTTCACTTTGTACATATGAATGTAGGTTGTTAGCTATAGTGCATTTACATATTCATTTAATTTACATTTTAATATTGAATAACATTTATATCTTAAACTGCATAACATTTATATCTCATAACCACATAATGGATAACCAATCATTTGACCATTTTCTCAAGTCGTTCTGCATGTTTTAATATGACTCTTATAATCATAAAAGACATTTTCTCATATAAATATTTATATCAGATCATATTTATAATGCAGTACAGGTATCAAAACGGTAGGTGGCAGTATAAAACTATTGATTTCCAGAATCGGAAAGGCGGGCATCATGAGCACGAACGTATTATATTATGATTAAATTAGGCTTTAGTTTACTTTTACAATCAATCTTTATGCATTTTATTTGAATGGGTAAAGATGTGCCCTGAGTTCAATTCAGTTTCTCTACGATGATTGAAAGAAACATTGTCTTGTTGGTCAAATCCTCAATAGTGAGAGTCAATTCATTTTGTTAATAAGGTCTGCTATTAGGCTCATAATATTCATACGTTAATGAGGTTTTAGGGTTCATATTCTACAGGTCTGTGTTAGGTCGAGATCTGGGACGTGTCTAATATTAACTTCAAGAGCTTTTATCACCTCTGTTATCCATCCCCTGGGGGTAGGCTATGGTTTAACATGTGATCTTTATGTACACGATTTAGGACAGTTTTGCTGCCTGTCAGCTGCTCAAGGAGGATGATGAAGGTCACAGAGTCTTGACAAAAACAAAAAAAAAGAAAAGACTGGAAATGTCATTTTATAGTCTATCCAATGCTGCTGTCTTTTGCTTGGCAATAGGGCACTGAATGCTTGGCAGTATACAGTCACCTTCAGTCCAACAGATTAGAGCAGAGGTTTGACCCAGATCACTCTCTGCTGCACTGATCCATTTCATTTCTGTGTTAAACAAGCATGAGGGGATCAGCCAGAGAGAGTTCTGGCCCTGCCACTGCTGGGAGATAACCAACAGCTCTTTACTTCTAGACAACTTTAAGTTACTGAGAACTTTTTGAACAAGTCAAGATCACAATTCATATTGTGAAATTGCTTCAATGGATTGTTCATTTTGGTTCTTTCTGTGCTATGATTAAACAATTTAACAAAGTTAAGAAAGTGTCGCTTTAATGAGTTCTTTAACACATTCGCCACATTTTTTTGTTGTTGTATAAGCTAGCTTGAGTAAACTATCTGCACTCCTATTTTTTCAGAATTCATTTCTGTTTTCAGATGAATCATTGGAGTGAATGATTTAATATTTTTTTTTGTTCCTGAATTAATTTGTTTTTGAAGGGATCATTGAAGCAAATCAGTTTCATTCATGTGTCCGAAATTGCATACAATCATGTTGTAAATAAATTTTTACTCTGTAACAGCTTAGAAAAAAATTGTTAAAATGTTTTCCCCTTTTTCTGATATCAATATTCATCATAATAATAAATATTATAATGTTTTTGTTTTCATTTACTTTTTTGGGTAGAAAGAGAAGCTATCAGCCCCATTGACCAACCAACTGCTCCTGATAACTACTAATTTGTTTATGACCTTTAGAGCAAATTGCATCCTAAAGAAGGCCACATTGCTTGAATGCGAAGATCTACATTTTTTATATTTTTAATGACTACAGATTTTTAAAATCTTTTTAATGGAAGATGAGTCAGCTTCATCTTTTCTAGGTGAGAAAATATGTTTTATAAATTTAATCCAGACATCCAGACATGCTTTTTCAGCATTATGAGTGATAGTAAAAACCTGAAGAGATTGACCAAAAACTGAACATTCTGTCATCATTTACTGGCCCTCCAAATCTGACTCTTTTTTTAAATGTAT